ATATCTGTGCTCTGTTACCACCACCAAATCCTTCCTCTGACCGTGGTTTCTGCCACCTCCATCCAGAAAAGTCATCCTTAATGCTGACAGGAGCACCACAAACCTTTCCTCTGGCAGGTCAAAGACTCCAAACAGAACACAAACAGTTTGCAGTGGCATGGGGAGGTGAAAGATCTCTTGTACTTCCACTGCTCCAGATCTCATTGAGTGTTTGTGCTCTTCTACTGCGATGCCTTGAGAACACAACTTGCCCTCCCATTCCTCACCTCAGAGAGTTCTGACCCTGTGCAAACTGCACTGTGGATGCTGTTTGGTCTGCAGTGATTCTCTGAAGTGCAACTGGTCAGCACATCATTGCCATTTCAGGTCACAGACACTCTCCCTGGATCCTGGAACAGCAGCTAAGGACATCAAGGTCCTTCTTTCCACAAGCCATGGCACAACACAGCCCATCTGTGTGTGGCCCCCAGCACAGCTGTGCTGCAGAGCCACATGACACAACCTGTTAGCTCAGTGCAATCCAAAGGAGCAGACAAAAGGAGGATCATCTTTTCCACTGGACATGCAGCAAAAGCAGATCACAAGCCTTCACTGTTTTCTCTCTGGAGCTGGAGTGAAATACCAAAGGATAATTCAAAACACATTTGGATGCACTTGAGGTAGGAGAGCACAGGACAGTGTCTCCAACAGGCCCTGGAAACTCACCCTTCTTAGCTCTGTTCTCCCTTACCTCCCCCACGTTTGACAGCTCCTGGAGCAGGTCCAGCACCATTGCATCAGCAGTTCTGCCAGGACCTGCTCCACATGCTGAGCAGTTTCTGAAGGACAAGCATTTCCTGACATCTGTTCTGAATTCATTCCTCTCCTCTTTCTTCCCTTCTTTGTTTCACCCCATGCTGCTCTCAGCTCCCCCTCCATCACCACCTGGCCCCAGCTGACCAGGGCTCCCCAGGATGAGCTGAGGATCTCTGGTGTCCACACCTCTTCCAGCCCTGCTCCTCTCCCTGCTGTTTGCTGCTGTTGATACAGATTTTGCTTTAGCAACAGCACTGAGCAATCTGACCCCAACCCAGCAAATCATTTGTGCCTGCACTTTCCTTCCTGCCCAGGTCCTTCCTACTAGGACCACAGGATTAAGCACTGGCTACATTAGAATCAGGACCATCAAGGCTGGAAGAAATCTCCAAGATCATCAAGTCCAACCATGAACTGTCACTGCTGGAACCCCCAAACCCTAACCCAGATCCTCCAGTGCCACATCAGACACCTCTGAAACACCTCCAGGGATGGTGACTGCACCACCTCCCTGGGCAATATCCCAGGGCCTCAACACCACAACAGGGAAAACATTTCTCCTCACACCCAATCTGACTCTGCCCTGGCTCAGCTCAAGTTCGTTCCCTCTAGTCCTCAAAAGGACCTTTGTAGGAATGAGCCCAGGCCCAGGCTCTTTCCTCTCTCCTCACTGCCTTATGCCATGGAGCTGTTGCAATGCTAACAATACCAAGAATTTGAAATGACTTCCACAATTCTATGACTCCCATCAGTTCTCCCTCATGCTCTGCCTCACCTTGTGTTACCTGAGTGACCACACAGTTCTGCTAAAGAGTTTCTGCATCAAAAATACTCACAAGACAACACTACTAAGAGACACAACAAACTCTTTCTGCCAGCTAATTTGCCAATAATTTTGCATATACAAAGAGGCAATTTTCACGAACCAAGAATCACGGTGAGCTTGATCCTTCTCCCTGCACTGCAGGATTTTAAACCACCTGGACATTTAGGAGCTGCAGGGACAGGACAAGGGGCAATGGGCACAAATTGAAGGAGGGAAATTTAGGTCAGATCTCAGGCAGAAGTTGTCCCTGTTCTGGTGGTGAGACCCTGTCCCAGGGTGCCCAGGGAGGCTGTGGCTGCCCCAACCCTGGCAGTGTTCACAGCCAGGTTGGATGAGCCTTGAGCAACCTGCTCTGGTGGGAGGTGTCCCTGCCCAGGGCAGGGCTTGGGGCTGCATCATCTCTAAGCTCCATCCCAACCCCTATAATTCTCTGATTCTCTGGTCTTGGCACAACCCCCAAGGTCTGTTCTTGGCAGGACATGACAGATACCACCACATCCACCAAGCATGTAGTAGATTTTATTCAGCATAACTTTGGTTCTAAATATTCCACCCTCGTCCTCGTAATACCTTTAGTTAAAAACAATTATACAAGAGCAAATACAAAAAATATTAAATTATGAAAACAAATCCATTTAAGGCTCCCTTTTTATATTTATATATATTTATATATGTACACTCAGACAAGTGCAGATATCAACAGAAGGTTAAAGCCACCGAAATGCTAAAAAATCTACTACTCTACTATCAAAAGCTGAGAGTTTTCAAAAAGCCCAAAGTGGTAGGTGAGCAATTTTCAAATCACTCAAGTATTTGCTGCATTGCTTCAAAACCCACAGAGCTAAAGGGCAAAGGGCAGAGCAGGAATTGCTTACACCCACTGCAAGCAGTTTCTGACTGGAGTAGCCACACAGGACACTTGTGGTGGGACTCGCTGGCCACCCCCTTCAAGGGTTGCCCAATCCTGACTGGAAGGACAAGCTTTTGCCTGCCAACACGCCGTGGAGGTGGTTGGGGCTCCTAGACTAACAGGATTCAGAGATGTTCTAACACACACGTCGATGTTCTGTGCACACAGAGAACGAATTCCAATGGAAAACACAACCCAACTTCATGCTCTATGTACAAAGGGGTTTTCTGGCCTCCTGTGCTTCACAAAGATGAATCCCAAGCTAAGCTGGGGAGAAAGCAGAATGCCTTCAGCCTGGAGGGGCCCAGCCAGCACACCCCCTGGAGCTGTGGAGAGGTCCCTGTGCCCCAGTGCCCCCAGAGCCACCAACCTCGTTTTGCTGTGGTAGGATTGCCATGGTCACCAAGGGGAAATGCCTGACAAGAAATGGTCTGCTCAAGCCAGAGGAGGGTTCTAGACTTTTAGCCTGACTTCTAGACTCTTCCATACTGAGCAGAAGGTAAATGTGGAGTTGAAACCAAGAGGCTAAGACAAAACATGAGTGTGGCATGGAAGGCTCCTCCTGCCAGGAGAAGGGAAGAACCTGCAGCATTCAGGGTGTTCCTTTGTTGAGAAAATACGTGGAAGAACCTTACATTTGGCCTTTGTCTTTTGTGTGTCCACAACCTGAACAGTCTCTTAGACCATCTTCACATTTAATCTCCTAGACATGAGCCAAGCTGCAAGTCTAAATCAATGGCAATATGCTTAGCACAATTCGATTTACTCTCAATCTGATTATGTCCTCATAAAAAAATGCCTGCACCTGGACAAATTGAAGGCTGTATCTAGGAAACATTTCTAATTGTGAGCATTTTGTCACAAGTGCTAGGCTGGAATCGCATTTCCAATGTCCAATACTTACAGGAAAGGCAAAAGGAACTGTAAAAAACCAAAGCAACAAACCCTCCCCCACCACCCTTACAACACAAACACACCACGGCTGATATAATCAAAAGTGTTCAAAATTGTGTCCACTGGAATTACAAAGTAGAAATCATTGTTTAGCATCCTAAGGCAAAGGCTAGGGAGCAGATCCTCAGCTGATATGGATGAACACAGCTCCAGTGAGAGCCAGGACTGTGCTGAGTGAGGAAGATGAGCATTCATCCCCAGATTGTGAAGATATCTGCACCCAATCACTCCAGGTGAGAATCCACTTCTACAATCCTACATGAGCAATCTGCTCCCCACTCCTCATCTCAGGCTTTCCTGGATAACTAGTAGTCATAAGCAGGAAGGATCAGATTCTGCCATCCCTGTGCAAGCTGAGCAATGTTTCATTTCATGGCAAGTCACTGGGACAACGCGTGGAAAGGCAGAAGATGACAGAACTGGACCCACAGACTCAGTGGTAACACACTTCCCCCTCCTTTCTCGAGGCTGAAGGAAGGATGGGATAAAATAGATTTCACTTTATGCCTCACTTCAGGACAAAAAAAATCCATTTCAGTAGATTCCAATGGTCAGTTTGGTCTGGCTTAGACACTGCTCTAGTGCAGAAGCTCAACAGGGTTCTGCAAGCAAAGGGCAGGAACTGATGGCAGAGCAGATTCCTGATTCCAGTCCCAGCAAAGCAGTTGAAACACTACCAAGCAATGTGTTAACACTGCAACCAGTTCAGCATGTCCTTGGAGGAGAAAGGCCACGACCCCAAAGTGAGCAGGACTTCAGGACAGCAGCAGAAGACAGATCGTTTTGCTCTGAGAGGTAAATTCACAGGTAGCACTGCACAGGCCTGTGCACAACAGGGATAAATCAGCTGCTGGAGTCTCCCTGGTGAAAGGACCTTCAGATTTCTGCTCTTTCACAGCCCAGATTCCACATGCCAAACAGGAAGAAATGGACTTTAAGGCTGCTTAACTCTTCCCTGCTGGTGAATGTTAAGCACTCTCATCTTGCCCACAGCTGCCTATCCCAGTGGGATGGGCAGCAGTGACCAACACACCTCACATCCTCCTGGAGAGAGATTCCAGCTACACTCAAATCACTGTGGGTTATACCCAGGCTGGAGGAAATCCACCTGCACAGCAAAGCTTCCTCAGATACCACAGGAGGATTTTTGTTCTGGTTTAAAGCAAAACAGAGTCTGTGTGTCTCCACTAAACTAGGCTGACGAGTTAAAGCAGTGCAGGACTGAAGGAGCTTCTCTAGTATCCCTGGTTGAAAGCTCTGAGTAAGCACATCAGCCTGGTCTGTGGCACTGAGCCAACACACACTCCTCAGCCATGGATCTCTGGGCTGGATTTGGCAAGTGGACCTGGTTACAACACTGTCTTTTGAATCCACACGTCCCAGGAACTCCAAATCTCATCTTTAGGAAGTGTCAGCTGGATTGCTCGTGGTTTTCCTCTTGAGGGGCAAACGGGAGACAACTTGCAAAAGTCTCTCTCTGCAGGAAAGAGCTGGAAGTGTTAGCAGGCTCTGGCTCTAGGAGTCTGGTGCTTCTGTGGCTTCCTGGCCTGTCCTCCTCAAGTTGCCCTTGACCTTCACAAATTCAGGTGCATTCTCCTGCTCCTCCTGGATTTTCTGTTTCTCCAGTTCCAGCTTGAAAGGGAATCACATGGAAGAAAAAAAGGATAGAAAACACATCGTTGAAATACAAGGCAATAAAGGTTTCAATAACTGCCCATGCCAAGCTCCTTAAACTGGTTCCTTTCTCTGTCTCATGGAAAAGAGAAAGCTGCATTTCTTTGGAGTATCTGTCCTCATAAACAAGAAATCCTTTCAAACCCTTGGCTCTAGCATGTGCCACATGTTCACCTCTGCCAGACAGACAAAAACCCTGCAAGCCTTCAACAAGATGAAGCATTTCTGAAGAAATCCTTGGACATCTCCATGAAAGAAACGACAATAATTCCCTTCTCTGGCTCTTACAGCAGAACAGGGATGAATGTGCCTCGTGGGAAAACACATGCAAATAGTGAGTACTTGAAGAACTGATTGCTGAGTGTTTAGGTGTGGATTCCTGTACCTGAGTCTCTTTAGGTGTTTCTGGTTTGACTAGCACAAAAAGTAATATAATGAGTCTCTTTAGGTGTTTTTGGTTTGACTAGCACAAAAAGTAATATAAAAATCAAAATCTTCCTTGGTCCTTAGCTGTTCATTTTTGAGAGCTCATTCACTGGCACTTTTAATCCAACTGCAGCTCCTGCCCATGCAGACACTTGGAATTTCCTCGTGGGGCTAGATAGACTCAGTGACCTTGGAAGGGACCACAGTGTTCATCTGGTCCCACCTCCTGCTCCAGCAGGGCCAGCCCAGAGCACATGGCTCAGGGTTGTGTCCAGAGGGGTCTGGAACACCTCAGTGAGGAGAATCCACCACCTCTCTGGGCAATCTGTTCAGTGCTCAGGGACTGCACAGCAAAGAAGTTCTTCCTGTGTTCAGGTGGAACTTCCTGGGCATCAGTTTGTGCTGTTCCCTCTGGTTTTATTATCAAAGCCAGTGTGGATAAAGCCTTGAGCAACCCCATTAGTGGGGAGCTGTCCCTGCCCAGGGCAGGGGGTTGAGTTTAGATGATCCAACCTTTCCAACCCCTAAAAATCTGTGATTCTGTGATTGGTTTCCCCACTGAGCAGAGTCTGATCCTCCTCTTGGCACCTCCTGTTCATGGACTTGAATCCATTCCTGAGGTTCCTCTCAGTGTCTCTTCTCAAGGCTGAACAGCCCCAACTCCCTCAGCCTTTGCTCATCCCTGAGGTGCTCCAGTCCCTTCAGCATCTTCCTTGCCCTGCCCTGGAGCTGCTGCAGGAGCTCCATGTCCCTCTGGCCCTGAGGAGCCACAACTGGGCACAAACACTGTCACTGCTCTCTGGGGCTGAGCTATACAGTGCCCAAAACAGAACAGGCTCACACATGGCACAGGATGTGGATTGCTCAGAGATTCCCAGGGAGGACAGAGAAGTTGGCAGAAAAGAAGCAACAACCCTTTAGAAAACAAACAAAAAGCCCCTGAAAGAGCTTTGCTTTTTTTTTGTCCTTAACAGACCAAAGTCTTCCTGATTAATGGGGACCACGTTGAGCTCCCCTAAATAATCTCTGCTTTGTCTCTGGCTCTCTGGCCAGGGACATGCCTTGCTCCAGTAAATCACAGCTCGTTCCTCCAGGAGCTGTGTTGCCAATTACTGCCATTCCTAGGATGCTCACAAAGTCACAGCACTGTCTGCAATGGGCAAATTTTTCCTCTTCTAAGGGAATTTTCTATTCTACATATATCCTTGCATGGCTCAGTTTCAAACCAAACCTTCCCACAAGATGAACCTTTCAGAGCTGAGCCCTTAAGAGCAGATGATACACTTAAAAACACAATAGCTTCCTCCAAAAATATTTCAAGCCTAATTAAAACAAAAGCCCAAACCTATAATAAAACCCTAAAAAGCAAAATACATGTCGTTTTAAAGACTAATTATTTGGCTTCATTGCTTCCCACTGAGGAAAACAGGAGATCCTGTTTTAAAGCATTCACTTTTGGCAGTGATTTATCTGCAGATAAATGCAGTGGTTGATGCACAATGATTCCTCTGGTGAGGTGTTTCATGGCACAGGTGTTCCAGAGGCACAGAGATGTTTGGCTGAGCCTGTGCCTAACACAGAGGACTCCAATTCTATATCATCTCCACACTGACCTGGTGACTGGAGCATCTCCCTGTGAGCACAGGCTGAGGGCGTTGGGGCTGTTGAGCCTGGAGAAGAGAAGGTTGTGTGGAGAGCTCAGAGCACCTTGCAGGAGCTGAAGGGGCTCCAGGGAAGCTGCAGAGGGATCTGTGTTAGGAGCTGCAGGGACAGCACAAGGGGCAATGGGCACAAATGGAAGGAGGGAAATTTAGGTGAGATATTAGGCAGAAGTTTTTCCTGTGAGGGAGTTCAGGCTCTGGGATATTGCCCAGGGAGGTGGTGCAGTCACCATCCCTGGAGGTGTTTCAGAGGTGTCTGATGTGGCACTGGAGGATCTGGGTTAGGGTTTGGGGGTTCCAGCAGTGACAGGTTAAGGGCTGGACTGGATGATCTTAGAGGTCTCCCCCAACCTTGATGGTTCTGTGATTCCACAGTTAGAGTACAAATGTGAGTAATTCACCACTGTTTCAGTGTTTAGATCAGGTCAGAGCCCCACACACATCCCTGGGGGCTGGTGCAGGATTCATTTGACCCAAGGCACAGTCTGTGTTCAGTAAGTGACAACAAAGGGGTAATCAAAGAGGGTGATTTGACTTATCCTGATAAAGCTATTTGCATCTGCTAAAAACACCAAAAATTGGCTGTTGCTTCCTTGCTGTCTACCAAGGGAGCTCCAGGTAAGCAGCTCAGCTGCACAGAAAGGCAGAGGTGTTCCCCATCTCACCTGCTCCAGTTTCTGCTGCCGTTTCAGTAGCTCTATTTCCAGGTCTGATTTCTTCTTCTGTGCTTCCTCTTCTTTTTGTTGTTTAATAACTTGATCTCGTTTCCTTTTCTCCATCACCTTCTGCAGCTCTGGTTTGTTCTGAGGTGCCAGGCCCCTTTGAAATAAATGGGGGGGGGGGG